TTTCGTTTGTCAACGGTAAAGTGTACGTCCCATGCGTGTGAATTCCGACTAGGGAACAACCCGGCGCCCTTCACGCTGATACTATAGATAATCGTGCGTTCGCACAGGTTGCTTGCGAAAAGATTCTTTATGCGTACGTAAATGGAAGCAGGTCCCACTGGCACCGCGTTCGTCGGTTATGTTGTTGCGCCGCAATGGCGAACCATTTCCGCCCTATCGCGAGAAGAAATACAAATACAACTATGTGCGAGAGAAGAAGCAGGTTGTGACTGCAGTGGATTTCATTAATCTCGATAAAGTTGCTAACCGATCGATTTTAATAAAGTCTCTTAACGTCTTTAAAAAATTTTTGATTCTTCTCTAATTTTTAATTATTGTGTAAAAGACTAAGAAATTTAATGCCGATTTAATCTCCCCGAATCCGCTTTCTGGCGCACCTTCTGTTTGTAACATAATATAATAATATAATAACATAGTCAATCAGAGGATGGCCACAGTCGTGAACAATTTATAGGGGAGAATTAACGCTCGCTTTGAAAATAGATACATACGTCGGCCGAGTATATACTTATATAGACAACCGTTTACGGCCGGTATCTCGGTACGATTCTTGTTTTCCCGCTCAAAGTGGTAAATTACACGTTACAGCGAGAGGAAATGAAAGGTGTGACTCCTCGACCCTCGGCGAGATACCCGACGCGCGACGTTACGAGTCCCCGGAACACTCAACCAGTTCGCGCGCATTCGCTATTAACCCGTTGCGAGATCCGGGCCCGTCCGAATAAATCTGTATAATTATTACGGCGCGCGCATAGAGGATCTCTATGTGTATGTACCGGGTGGCCGCCCCGTTGGAAGGTATAGCCCCATCGGAAGGAAGCTGGTTTATTTTTTTGTTATGCCGCCTCGAGGGGCGCCCCATCGCCTCACCTTTGAAACACCTGGCTATTACGCCGGAACGCTTTATACGAGTGTGTGCGCGCCACCATATGCGATCGGCCCCACCGAGACTAGCTACGTAGACCCATTTTCGGGGCCCGTGGATCCCTACGGATCCCTACAAGTGTGCCAGATACCATCCGTAGAGGGGAGGGAGGGAGGGAGGAATCGAAAAAGGGCTTTTTACCGCTTCTCGCATCGAATCTAGCATCAAGTTAGAGAGTCGCTTCGCTCTGGTGTAGTTGAATTTTCCAACTTTCGGATGCACTAAATAAAATTTTCGTATTTTACGATAAATTATTTAGCTGCATTTGATAATAATCTATCTACTTTACTCAACGGCACAACGCGAATTATTTGTCTTTCAAAGGAATTCGAATTTGCATTTATTACATAAATAAATTTGTTATTTGGTATTAGATACAATGTAAACCTGCCATTTATGTTCGAATCTAAGAAAATATCTTTATTTTCTCAAATGTTAATATAATATTAGAAAAACATATAAAGCTTTTTTTATTACGATACAATTATTTATTTACGCGCAAATCGATACCAATAATATAATAAGTCTTGCCTAGAAAGAAACTTAGAGTTTAAAAATATATTTTAAATCACTGAAAAAAAATATATATAATTGAGGATTGATTCCTAAAAACCGAAGTATATTTTTTTTAATTTAATACAAATTTAAATATTAATAACACTACAAATTAATCTGTTATAAAATATTTCTAAGACATGTAGTTGAAAAAAATAATAATTTTTAGATAAAACTAACTCCGCCGATGCCGGTCCCAAGCCCGGATATAAAAGGAGGAGGGTTCCTGGTAAATAACTTCTATACATATTTTTATACAATAAAATATATTAATTACGAATTAATGATGAAAAGACAATAAAATATTTATTAAAATAAGAGTGTTATTTGAGCCGCATTTTTTTTGTGTTTCATTCAAGTTGTTTTAAGCATTGACACGCAACTCTCTATGCATCGATGCATCGTGAAGCACCCCGTTGTGTAAATGGTTTTGTTTCCTGGCTTCTGTTTTGAACGGTAATCCCAAACTTTTCACACTTTGACCAACGTACACCTGTATCCTGGTTCGTTTTTGTAATGAATGGGTCACGATCAAAGGCTCAAGATTCTAGCAAAACCATGTCTTTAAAGATTATTTAACGAGCTTCTCTGCACGACGCATCCAAAATAATGGTCTCTTTCAGATTCGTTTTGGCTAGCTTTCACAATAACATATCACTCCCGTTTTTATCACTCTTCTATTTAATAAAATTGTACACAAAATATTTAAGCAATTTATTGCCACAAGCGGATGCTTCGACGCGGTTATATATTTAAATCTTATATTGATAAGAATTATTTTTTTAATTGCGGATAAAAATAAAATACTTTATCCCTAAAAAGAGAAATAAAAAATCTTATTGATATTTTCCGCTGAAGAATCTTGCCGTTACTCGCACGAAAGTATCAAAAAATTCCACAGGTTAATCGATTGCGAAATTCGATATTGTTACAAACCGATAATGCCTTTTCGGATTTTAAAAATACACGTGTATCTTATGTGAATACGTTTTCTCTCTTAATCCCTTGCGTCAGTATCGCTCAATCTGTACGAAACGGTTTTCCTTTACGAAACTCGTCGACGAGATGATGATCGTCGCGGCAGATTGAGAACCACGACACTCACAATGATGGATATTTCGTCGATCGTGAATAGAAAAGTACGGTGCGCCTGAGTTTTTCCTCTTATTTTTTCTTTCCTTTCCTCTCACGGTGAATAGCCGCTACGACGCGTAAGGCCCCCTTCATTGTGCAATGATCTCAAAGAATCACAACCTCGTCTTAAGTCCGTTCGTTCGGCCAAGAAGCAAAGTACTTTGCTCTTTGTATCAAGAGCCCAGAAATCTGCTGGTATAATTTTCTCAATAAGCATTGTTTTACCGCATTCGTGTCATCGAATTTTCCGTGATGATGTTATTTATTATCTCAAGGATTAAATATTTCGAAACGCATGACATAATATTGCGAAATTCTTATTTGTTAAGTTTTGATCGTTTTGTATTTAAAATAAACTTCGTAAAATTATTATTTATGGAATAAATGATTTGACTGACATTGCAAAGTATTATTTAAAAAATCTTCAGTCTTATTTTTTACGTAGTGGTAATCTGCGCGATATGCTGTGATAGCTATCATTGCTATTGATAATTTTACAAAGATGAAAATGTAGAATTGTTTTAAGTTTACGTAATCGTTAAACAAAATGAATGCATCATGCTCGGCAATTGTATAGAATATTGATTGTAAAGCAAGCTAGTGTAAATATATGTCAATGATAACAAGGACCCCTTTTCGTCAAAAAATAAATATTTAATAATATGCGTACCGATAAAATTCCAAAATTTTATCATGAAATCCTGCTAGCATGCACACACATCCCTCTCTCTCTCTCCCTCTCTCTCCCTCTCTCTCTCTCTCTCTCTCCTTCTCTCTTTCCGTTTCTTCCTTTTCAATTTTTCTCTCTGCATTTGATGTTTCTTTTTTATTACGAAATAATACGACGAAGTGATTGTACGCACGTTTAGTCCGGAGAATAAAGCAGTGCAAACTGCTTATGACAACAAGTACAAGAATCCTATGTCAAAAATCGCTTTGCTCTCGCTTTCTTGAGTCGCCTGTCCATACCGGTCTCTTACCCCGACTATTATTTCGCGATCATTCGATTTGAATAATCTCGTTTCACGGTAATAATTTCATGCGACGTGTATATGACAATAGCGAAAAAATGTTTTACGCTTTCATTTATTCTTATTTTCATGGTTTAATTATAACTAAAAAGAAAAAAAAAATATAGAATGGAATGGAAATTATAGGATGTTATCCTTGAAATCGAATAGTTCAAATATTCATATATATATCAAGCATTACATGGGTACTGCTATTAAAATTGCGGGCAATATATGAGTTCTAGGATATTGACAACACTTTAAAACACGTGCGTGCTTTCTGTCTTTTTCCACGCGCGTAAACCACGTGGCAGAATCACGAACAGAACGTCGCGTGTTTCTTCTTTCGCGCAAAAATTGCAGGCGATCTAATGTTAATCTGTTGCTGGCGCACAAGGGGGAGGGGGACAAGAGTGCTCCCACAAGCACGCGCACGTACGTGCTGCGACGCACGCGCACGCGTGTGTAGGTAGGTTCCCGGCGCGCGTAGGCGATGCTGTGGCACGCGACACGACCGTTACGTTCAGATCTGGCACCGTAGGTCGACGCGAAAGGGGGGAGGATGAAATTCAGAAGGGGAACAGGAGGTGGATAGTAGTGTCTGCCCTCTATACGCTTGCACATACACATGCGTGTAACAGGCAAGCGTGCACACACGCGCGTATCAGGTAGACACACAAAACAGCCGACGCGACAACCACTCTCGCACAAAGAGGGAGAGAAAGAACGGTGCGGGGTTCAGGTAGGCCGAACGGAAATTCGAATAAAAAACGCGAGTCGCCGAGTTCTCGCGCGGAGGGGGTTCAATACACACGCGCGCGAGCGATGTATCCCTGATATGTATATATGGCGCGCAGAATGGAGGGGGTCCCCTAAGAGGGGTCACAGCATCTGCTCCGTAGAGAACAACATAACATGCACACATTGCAGTTCATGCTGTGTATATGTGTGTGTGTGTGCATATGCGTGATAGAGAGAGAGAGAGAAAAGAAAGAAATGGCGAGTAGAGCGGAAGGGATGATGAAAAAGGCAGGAGGGCACGCGGTGCGCAGCGGACAATCGCGTCGCACTCACGAGCATCCTGTACCTCTCATCGTCGCTTGATGACGATGGGGGGACCAGCCGGTGGAACATACGTCGATTGGCCAACGGCCCACAACCGACTGTCTCCCATTGGCAAGCAGCGCGGGGCCTACAGGCCCGTATTGGCTTGGCAGCACGTGCGGGCCACCTGCAATTAGTTGGTGGGGCGATCTGTTATAAGAGACCCTGACACAATCCCCTGCCAGTCAGACACCGGCTTGCAGCCGAAACGTTCGGAGTGAGTCGATGCAACATATCCCCTACATTTCACTTTCGTGCTTTATACGAGTTCAGATCTGTTTGAGTCGCTCGACCAATCATTCAGTCAGTTGAATTCGAACGGACGTGTGGGAAGGATCAATCTTGTTTTTTTTTTCTGAGAACAGATTAAGTGCCGATTCTATTTTCGGAAAAGGAAACATTGGATTTCGAACTTATGTGTGAGATAACAGTGCAGTGACGTTGCCACGTAAAGATTATATCTTGCGAGGATTCAGCGAGAATGTAATTATTTGAATAACATTGTGACAAATACTTATAAAAGAAGAAGAGAAAAAAAAAAACACTACAAGTGTCTTCATAGTGTCGCGGTGTCAAGAAATACGAAAAAGAACATTTTAAATATCTTCACGGTATCACAGTGTCAAAATGCTTGTCGCTGAGATGCCGCCCAGCTTCATGAAAAAGAACAACAATTATAGTCACTGTCCGTTAAAGAAGCGGCCGTTTTATTATACGTCCGAGGACGAAGATGAAGCCCCTGAAGTCACCAAAGGTGATTATCGTGAATTTATTCATTCGCAATTGCATAAATTGAAATTTCTTTTCATCAAGACTTCGATGTATAATATTATATAGACTTATCCGGAATCGGCATAAAGAGTGTGTTTTGCGTATTATTTTTCATATTGCTCATCTTGCTTTCTTTTTCTCTTTGTTAAATATATTAATTACTATATAAAGAAGATATTATTCACAAGAGCAAAACAATTAGTATAGTAGCAATATAATTTTAGTTTTGAAAATAAAATACTATACACAATAACGGAAGATAAATAAATCAGTAACATTTTAATATTTCATTATTCTCTCTTTTCTCTTTCTCTTTTTTCTCTGATTTTGTTCTTTTAATTTTCTTTTTAATGTTATATATGTAACTTTCTGCAATTTAAATTTTGTATTATATTATTCTGAAATAACAATATGTAACTCTAAACACATATAAATATAAAAAAAATACATAAAAAGAATTAACAAAAAAGAGAAGAGAAGAAAAGAAAAGAAATTAAAGTTAGTAATACGTATACTTATATTTTATATACTAGGCATTTTTTTATCATGTATCTTTGCAACGCGTATTTTGCAGACGAGATAATTGACGTAGGAGTAGACGATATTCCCGAGCCCGAGAATCTTAGCACAAAGCCTGAGGATCTCAGAAGAACCGCGGATCGTCATCATAATCACCAACAACAACAACAACAAGAACAACAAGAGCAGCAACAACGCGCATCCAGGACACCGCCGCCGATCTCTAAAGTATCGCCTCCGCCTTTAACAATAGAGCCATCTTCGCCGACGACTCATCACTCGATGTACGTCCATCCGTCATCGCTGCATCACTATCACCATCACTATCCGACTAAGACTATCACGCCGCCAGCGGGTATCGCGCCGATTCATCCGGTTGCGAAGAAAGCGCGAGTCGAGGTGATCCAGCACAATGACAGCTCTACGACAACGCCGACGGCGGGTATAACGGCGACGTCGGCACCGCTGCACTTTATGGCAAGCAAGGCGCCCTTGGAACCGTTGAATCTAAATACTCCGGTGGAGCCGCTGGCGCATTACGCCACTCCGGCCTGGGCCCGCGCGGCCCCGCTATATCCGCCGCATTATCTGCCGTACCATCCGCCTACCTATCATCGTTATCCCGGAGCGGAATTGTATCCGTCGTACCCAGTATCAGGATATCCTCACTCGTCTCCGGAGCATCATCCGTCGATTTCGCCACCGCCACACGGTGCACTGACTTGTCCGACCATTCAACGGCCCATCGTCAGGAGCTACCATTGGAGCAGTCCAGATCACTGCGGTTTATCGCCCACGAGTTCTGTGGGTTCCGGCTCGTTGCGGTCACCTCCACCAGTGACGCCGGAAGACCTGTCCTCGTCACCCAGCAGCGACAGCGGCAGATCATCCGCGGGTAGCACCTCCGCCGGGCCTACGATCGTGAACACGAAAATGGAGAAGAGCAGCCCGAGCGCGAGCGCATCTTCCAGCACGACGTCGCCCAGGTATTCGTGTGCGGATTGCAACAAATCGTACTCGACGTACTCGGGTCTGTCGAAGCATCAACAGTTTCATTGCGCGGCCGCCCAGGGTCAGGCGAAGAAATCCTTCTCATGCAAATACTGTCAGAAGGTGTACGTCAGTCTGGGTGCATTGAAGATGCACATCCGGACGCATACATTGCCTTGCAAGTGCCATACGTGCGGCAAAGCGTTCTCCAGGCCGTGGCTTCTTCAAGGTCACATCCGGACGCACACCGGTGAGAAACCGTTCAGATGTCAGCATTGCAACCGCGCGTTCGCCGACAGGAGCAATCTCAGGGCTCATCTGCAGACTCATAGCGACGTCAAGAAGTCAGCAGGATGTCATTACTTACGAAGCATCAGGAGGGCGGTTGTCCCGGCGTCCCGGTATCAGTCACTTACCCTTGCTAAAATTGTAAGTTTGCGCGATCTATACCAAGGAGACAAACGTACGTTTTAATTCCACGGTCTCAAAGTGCCTTAAAATGCAGTACAAACGAAATAGTGCAGTCCGGTATCTTTCGGTGAACCGC